CTTTTTGAACTTTTGATTCTCTTTGCTAAGTTCATTATTCTTCCTCTTCTCACTGCAATAAAGATATTTTGTGTGTTTGAATGTTTGTGGCACTTGTCTTTATTCCGGGCATGTATCCCAACGAACTGTTCCAGGTAGGAAGGAAGTGCCCTTAGGATTTGGGAATAGGAAGTTACTGGAAGCCAGCCCAAGATCGACCCTGTTGGAGAAGTGGCTCTGAGTACGTTCTTGGGCTTTAGTGGGAACAACAAATGATAAGAGGGCCTGAAGTCCCCCTAAGGCCTTGGGTCAAAAGCTCCTCCAGGGTGCACAGGCCAGGCCATGCTCAGGAAGGCAGCCCCATGAAATGGAGATGGTGTATCCGAGCCAGAGCCAGAGCAGGGGTCGGGGCAGGAGCGAGGCCTCATGAGGGAGTTGCCAACGGCCCTGTGGTTTAAGCAACAGGTGTAGATCCCCTGGACAGTGAGCACAAATCACTGGGGCAATGGGGCAAAGCCCCAAAGCAAGTGCTGGGAGAAGAGAGGGAGCATGCATGGCTCACTGCTGGGTCAGCCAAATCTATCAGGGGGAGGCACTTTTGGAAAGCAGGAGCAGATAACCCGTGCCAGAGTCACGACGGGGGGAGGCAAAAGTAGTCCATGCCATAGTGTGTATATTGTAATACAAAGAAATAAGGCACAGAATGACTTAATGGGTACCAATGAACTGATCTGGAGGACTGTATTCCCATCCTGGATTGCAAAAATTAACTGGCTGTTGTCTCCTGAATTGCTGCAGTGCACCGACTGATATCGTGCTGGAAAAATAACACACTTCAATGTAAGTAAACCAGGGATTTTTGTATGTAAGTGCAAATTATTGCTCTGCAAATTTGAAATAAGACTTGACTTGATCACCAAATGCAAACAGTAACTCTAGGGGTCAATTAGTGAGCTTTGGGCATCAGGTTAGAACAGCTCACTGCTCCCCACTGGTGGGCCATATTTACAGGATTCTCACCACCTGCTACAAAGTTTTGGAACACTTTAATCCACCCACTAATCCCAGTAATTATTGTACTGACTTTATGAACAACAGAGTTGCTGTCTCTGGGATCAATGCCAGGAAGGTGCTTCTCCCGTGTCTCTGCCCTGCCCAGGGCTCAAAGGACCAAAGGAAAGGATGAGAAGTTGGCTGCGAATTGAGCCCCGGGGCTGCTGCCCCTGAGGAGCAGGGTAAGGGCTGTGTGTGCTCAGGGGCCCTGGCTAAAGGCTGCAGGTGCAGTGAGTGTGTGCTGGGCCAAGGCAGCCAAGGTGTGTGCAGCTGTTCCGTGCCCTCTCCCCTTGGCCCCGCCGGGGCGCCTGCCCAGCGCTCCAGGGGTGGCCAACGGGGAGCTCAGGGATAACATGGCAGGGACAGAGGTGACATTTGTAGCTGCCAACTTGGGGTAATTTCGAAGGGACCCAGCGACTGTTTGTGTAGGAAAAGGTGAGGTGCTGCAGAGGAGAGGGAGGTGGCATTTTGGAGGGGTCCCACTGAGGGGGGAGTGGAGAGCCTGGGGCTGGAGTGTGAGTTATTAAACAGGGAAGAAGGGAAGGCTGCTTGGGAGGGAAACACTCAGGGAATGTGTAGGGATGGAATGGAAATTTGGGGAGTCAAGAAGAGAAAATGGGTGATGTAGATGAAGGGAAATGTTGGGTGTAAGAGTTGATCTCATCTGTAGAGGACAGAATGACCATTTAGAGATAAAGTGAGGCAGTCAGTGGTGGGCAGGTAGGGAAAATTTGTGTTTGTAAAATCAGAGATGATGTGGAGCAGAGAGGATGTACATCATGATGGACACTGAGGCAGTCAACAGTGGGCAGGAGGGGAAACCTTTGGGGGTAAAACTTGAGGGAACGTCCAGGGCAGAGAGTGAATATTTTGAAGGATAAATGAGGTACTCAGTGGTGGACAGCTGGGGAGTGTTTTAGGGTAAACTTGGGGTAGCCCACAGGGTAGAGAATGAACATGTATTTGTACAGAGGAGCTGATTACATGTGGGTAGGTAAGGAGAATTTTGGGAGTAAAATCTGGGCAATCTGTAGCAGAGAGAATGAATACCTCGGGGTAAAGTGAGGCAGTCAGTGTTGGGCAGGGAGGGAAAATTTGTGTTTGTAAAATTTGAGGTCACGTGGAGCAGAGAATGTACATCCTGAGGTAAACTGGGGTAATCATTTGTGGACTCGTAGGGAAAATTGGGGGGGGGGAAATATCTGAGGTAATCTGCATGGTAGAGAATGAATATTGAGAGGTGAACAGGAGGTACTCAGTGGTGGACTTGTAGGGAAAATTGTGGGGGTCAAATCTGTGGCAATGTGCAGCAGAGAGAAGGAACATTTTGGAATAAAGTGAGGCAGTCAGTAGGGGAGAGGTAGGGAAATTTCTGAGTGTGAACCTTGAGCAAAACTGCAGAGCAGAGAATGAATATTTGGAGGTCCAAAAGAGGTAATCAGGAGTGTGCAGTAGGGAAGACTCTGGGGAGAGAATGACTCTTTTATGTTCAAGAAGAGGTAATCAGGAGTGGGCTGAAAGGGGAAAGTTTGGGGGTTAAGAAGGAGGTTGATTCTCTGCAGGGCAGGGAATGAACACACTGAGGTAACCTGAGGTGATGAGTGGTGAGAGACACAGAAAACTGTGGGTGTTAAAGTTCAGGTGATCTGCTGGGAAGAGAAGGAACCTGTTGAGGTAAAGATGAGGCACTCGGTGGCAGACAGGTGGGGAGAGGTTTGAGATAAGCCTGAGGTGTCTGTGGGGTGCAGAATGACCCTCTGTAGGTACAAAGGAGCTGGTCAGACGTGGACAGGTAAGGCAGATGTTGGGAGTAAAATCTGGGGCAATGTGTCCCAGAGAGAATGAATCTTTTGGGGTAAGGTGAGGCAGTCAGTAGTGGTCAGGGAGGGAAAACTTTGTCAAACCTGAGGTAATGTGCAGCAGAGAGAATGCACCTCCTGGGGTAAACTGGGGCAAACAGTAGTGGACAGGTAAGGAGGTTTTGGGGGAAAAATCTGAGGTAATCTCTGTGGCAGAGGACAAATCTTTGGAGGTAAAAATGAAGTAATAAGTAGTTTTCAGGCAGGGAAAACTCTGAGGATAAGTCTGGATATCACCTAGAGGAGAAAAGGAGCCTTTTGAGGTGCAGTGAGGCAGTCAGGGGTGGGCTGGTAGGGAAAATTTGTGTTTGTAAAATCAGAGGTCATGTGGAGGAGAGAGAATGCACCTCCTGGGCTAAACTGGGGTAAACCTTGCGGACCTGCAGGGAAAATGTGGGGGGTAAAACTTGTGGGAATCTGCAGGGCAGAGAGTGAATCTTCTGAGGTGAAAATGAGTTCCTGGGTGGTGGAGAGGTGGGGAAAGTGTTGAGAGTAAACTGGAGGTGGTGTGCTGGGTAGAGAATGAACATCTTGATGTAGAAGTGAGTTGCTGAGATGTGGAGAGGTGGGGAAAATGCAGTGGGTGCAGTGTGAGGTCACCTGTAGCAGAGAGGTTGTACCTCCTGCTGGACACTGAGGCAGTCAGGGGTGGGCAGGAGGGGAAACCTTTGGGGGTAAAACCTGAGGAAACGTCCAGGGCAGAGACTGAATATTTTGAAGGTTAAAACTTTGGGGGTTTTGAACGAGGTTATCTCCAGGGGTGAGAAAGGACATCAGGTCAACTGAGGGAATCAGTGGTGGCCAGGTGGGGACATATAGGGCAGAAATCTTTGAGGCAATCTCCAGGGTCCAGAATGAATCCTGAGAGGTGCAGAGGAGGCAATCAGGAGTGGACACCACAGCAGGCCAGGGAAGGTTCTGGGGGTAAAATGTGTGACAGTGTCTGGCAGAGAGAATGAACATTTTGGGATAAACTAAGGCAGTCATCAGTGGACAGGTAAGCCTTGAGAAACTCTCCAGGGTGGAGAATGAAAATATGGAGGTCAAAAGGAGGTAGTCAGTGGTGAGCAGGTGGGGAAAGTTTTAGAGTAAACTTGAGGTGGTCTGTAGGGTAGAGCAGGAACATATTTAGGTATACATGAGGTGATCAGCTGTGGAGAGGTGGGGAAAATTGTGGGGGTCAAATCTGTGGCAATGTGCAGCAGAGAAGGAATATTTTGGAACAAAGTGAGGCAGTCAGTAGGGGAGAGGTAGAGGAATTTCTGAGGGTGAAACTTGAGCAAATCTGCAGGGCACAGAATGAATATTTGGAGGTCCAAAAAGAGGTAATCAGGAGTGTGCAGGTAGGGAAGACTCTGGGGGTTAAAAAGGAGGTAATCTCTAGGGGAGAGAATGACTCTTTTGTGTTCAAGGAGAGGTAATCAGGAGTGGGCTGGAAGGGGAAAGTTTGGGGGTTAAAAAGGAGGTTGATTCTCTGCAGGGCAGGGAATGAACACATTGAGGTAAGCTGAGGTGATGAGTGGTGAGAGACACAGACAATTGTGGGTGTTAAAGTTCAGGTAACCTGCTGGGAAGAGAAGGAATGTGTTGAGGTGACCTGAGGGTCTGTGCAGTGGCCAAGCAGGGAAATGTTGGGCTGAGCCCTGAGTTGCTCCCGTGTGGGGCGGCTGCAGCGAGGCCGAGCCCTGGCCCTGATTTGCCAGCCATGGGCAGGGGGCTCTGTGCCAGCCGGGGGAGCAGCGGGGCCCCCGTGGCAGAGAGGGCAGGGGGGCTGTGGAGCTGCCCCGGGGGGAGGGGGGGGCCTTTCCTGGGCTGCCTCCAGCCCCCCTCGATCCCCCCCCTTGGGGGGGCTGCGCTGCCCCCCAAGGCTGTTTGGGGCAGAGAGTGCTGCCAGCTGCGTGTGCCTGTCCCCAGCCTGGCACTGCCCACAGGGACACACTGGGCACAGACCATTGGCCCAAGTTGTGTTTGCACCAGCTGGGGCCAGAGGTGCCAGGCAATCCAAAGCAAACCCTGCTCAGCCTCCAAATCCCGGGGGAAGTTCTCCAAGCTGCTCATTGACGGACTAAAGATACATTGAAATGGAACCAAGAGCACTAATAAGTTTCCTGAGAATCCCAGTATTGCTGTCCTAGAATTTTTAACAGTTTTTTTAAGCTTTTTATGACAAAAATTACTTTCTTCCTTTGATTGAGTCCCTCAGTAGGATTTGGGATTTCTTTGGATTCTGAATCCCTCCCAGTGGCCCTGACACTGGTCAGGAGCTGGCAGGACAAACAGAGTCAGAGCTCCTGGCAGGCACAGGGGCTTTCCCCCAGAGTGGATCCAACTGCTGCCCCCCAGCCTGGCCAGGCGGGATCTGCTTTGGCTCCCGGCTTCTGCCAGAGACAGAACGTGTTCCCTTGATTGGAATGAGGATCCCGTAGCTTCATCTCCTGGAGGTTCCCTGGGCAGCTGATCCACTCTGCCCCATGTCCTGCTCTCAGTTCCTGCCCAGCCAGAGCCATCTGTGCCAAGGGCACGAGCACTCCCAGCCTGGATAGGGAATGGGGGACTGGCTTGTGCACAATTCACCTAGAAAGTCAAACGAGGGGATTGTTGGGCAGCGGCTTTGGCCGACACGGCAGCACAAAGATTGTTCTCTGCAGGGGGCCCAGGTTTGGGTTCCGGTCTCAGCTTTGCAGGTTTGGATGAATTCTACCTACAGCCCGCAATTCCATGCCGAATTCCTGCTGCAACAGCCTCCCAGTGCCTCCTGGAGCCCGGATGTTCCCCCGCAGAGCTGCTGCTCTAACGCCAGGTTTGCCAGGAAGCAGCCACAGTTCCAGGTTTGCTCAGCGGGATCGGGACAAGGACAGGTTGATATTCCACAGACTTTGCTGTTTCTAACCCTCCTCCCCCAGCCCCGCTGGTGTCCCTGGGGGGACTTGAGCGAGTTCGCTGGAATTCGGCCGCTTTTCCGCCCCGGGCCGGGCTCCAGGGGATGGGTTCGCCCAGGAGAAGGCGGGGGCCGGACGCGCTCCCGGCCCGGGGCGAGGCAGCCCCTGAGCAGGGGCGAGGACGTCTCTCCGGCCGGGAAGCCGCTGTCCCTTCGGAGCCTCGGGAGCGGCCCCGGGGAATTCTTTTCCCCGAGGAAAGGGATGCACAGCCCTGCCTTCAGGGCACCTCGGCTCTGACCCACCTGTTCCAGCTGTCCACGGGCTCTGCAGGTGCGGTTGGGTCCCCGAAAAACTGCGAATTGCCTCCGAGCCCGACTTTCTCCGAGCATCCCCTTTTCTTTTCAGGCATCTCCGAGGGCTCTGGCTCGGGCTTTAGTGCCGCTGAGGGCACATGGCCCCGGCTTTAAGGCTGCTGCTGGCTGCTGGGCTCCGGCTGGAAGGGCAGGGATTTGGGGCGGGCGGGACACGCGTGGGGGGCGCGGGGGAGCTCTGGGAGGTGGGCCCTGGGAATGGCTGCCCGCGCTGCTCTGCAGCCCCGCCGTGCCGACCCTGCCGAGTGCCGCCTGGATTCTTTGGGTGCTTCTGGGCTGGCGCTGGGGCGTGTCCGGGGTGAGGCATCTCAGGGGGCCCGTTCAGAGCAGCCCCCGGCTGAGGAGCCGCAGGCAGTCCTTTCCCCGTGCCCACCCCGGTGCCCGTGGCTGGTTCCCCCCCGGGATGTGCGTTTGGCAGACGAGCCCTGCTCGGGAGACAAATCCATCTTGTGCCCGATGGAAGCGCTGGCCCGGGGCTGCTCCATCCCTGCTGCCAGGAGCTGTGCTGGGAGTCCTGCGGCTGCGGGCGGGATAGCCTGAGCTCCGGACGCTCCGGAGCGCCGGGAGCCCCGGCAGGGCAGTGCAGGGCACAGCTCCTCCATCCCCTGGCAATAGGAAGCCCAAGCAGGGCTGGGTCACTCTCTGTCGCTCCGGCCTCCTCCCGGCCCGCGTTCCCTGCCCACTTGGGACTGCCCAGGAAGCCCCGAGAACGTTCCTGGCGGGAAGCGGGAGCCGCCGAGGGCTCCGTCCCACTCCGGGCCCGAAAAGCGGCCCCGACCTGAACCCCCCCCGCATTTTGGGTTCCGAAGGCTCACCTGGAGGAGACGCCCCCCCGCAGGCGGGACCAGGCGGCGACACTCGACCGACGCCTTTGCCTTGGAGCGAGGGATCCCTCCCGACTCGGTTGACTCCTTTATCCCTGGAAATGAGCTCGGTTGTCGCACGAGCACCTTTGCAGCCGTTGGGCGAATCCCGGACAGGGCCGGAAAACCTCCCTGAGCAGGGCAGCGATGAATTGGTGCCCGTCCCCAGCCGGGCACAGCCCAGCCGGCCCCGCTCCCTCCGGCCCGTGGCCGGGAAGG